GGTCTAATAGAGTCTTGATGATTCCTCTTTTAGTCGATTGATGGTGGTTGGATTCGTGGTTCAGATACTGTCCCGTATGAGTGGGTTTTCGGTATACAGATGTTTTCCACTTAGTATCGGTCCTCTTCACCAAAACGTCTAAGAATGGCAATTCGTTGTGGATTTCCTTTTCCATTGTGAAATTGATGGAAGGTCTCACGCTGTTGATGTGTTTCAGGAAGGCGTCTAGTTCAGTATTCCCATGGTCCCATATTATGAAGGTGTCGTCAACATATCTCAACCAGACTCGCGGTTTCTTGTGGGCTTCTTCAATGGCTAGAGTTTCAAACCACTCCAAGTATATGTTGGCTATGACTGGTGAAAGTGGCGAACCCATTGGCAGTCCCTTATCTTGTGTAAAGAATTCGTCCTTCAGTAGGAAATAATAGTTACGTACACAGCATCCTAGTAATTCCATGATTACTTCTATAGGTAGAAGATCAAAAATACAATACATGATGCGAAGGTGGTGTATATCGAAACATTTTTTCAAATATTTGAATTTACTCAAAAATAATCGGAGTTTTTTTATTATGTTACAGATGTGTCCGCTATTTTTGCCAGTCCTAGCTTTAGCGCCATCGCTACAAATAGCGATACATTTTTTCCAGTCAAAATCGTAGTCGCAAGTGTTTCTAAAAACATATCGTACAAATACTGTTACATAGCACTTTTTTCTTAATTATTTATTAATTACTCTCATCACAAGATCTGAAGCTGGAGTTTTATTGACACACAATATTCAATTAATTTTTCTCTTTCCATTGATACCATTTTCATAGAAATCAGAACGCAGAACGTAGTCTTTTGATTACATTAAATTATTTCTTTATCTTTCTATGACATAAGGGAGTCGACCGAATTTTTCAACTTGTAAAGGGGTCGCTAAATCAAAAAGAATGAGGAACACTGTCGTACAGGATCCACTCTTCAAAAAAGGATCGTTTTGGTTGAGCAAAAGTACCGAAATGGTGGGAACCCACTTTTCGAGCTTTCTGACCTCTCCAATAAGTTGTAAATAATTAAAAACCGCAATGGAGCTGACACCCAGTTCTTCCGCCATCTCACGAACCGTTTGTGATGGATCAATCTCTACCAGGGTTCTCAAATCCTCGTCTTAGAACACTCAAGGTCGACCACTTTGGGGCCCATCTTCGAGGCTAATATATCCGGAACGAAATTTGGCAAAGCAACGTTGAACAATGCGTTCAGTAACACAATAATTGCCAAATGCTTGGTCAATTTTTCGGGCAGTTTCGGTAGGGCTTCAGTTCAATTTCAATTCGTAGAGAAGAATTAGCCGAAAATTGTTGACAATCGATATAGTGGAGAGTAATAATTCTACTCACTACAACATTTCATTTTCTAGTTCATTTCGATGTCTCTTCAGTGTTCCTCTTTCAGTATGAAGACTTACACTTCTTGGTGTGCTTCTAGTGGTCTTGTTTGTTATTCTACTTCTACTGTTCCAATCACATTGGAGTGATCACAATTCTTTTGTTTTTTGCAACTGTTCTATTCACTTTGGTTATCCGTCTTGTAAAATGATATAGATAAATTGAACCACTTCAACGTAAATACCACTTCAAATTCAAATACTTTCAAAAACGCACGTTAACTGATTCTGTATATAAAGCCAGCCAAAATCTGATGGGAACAGAGTTCCACAGCCTTCTGGACAGATGCTCCTAGGTAAGAAATATTATTATTATTATTACAGTGTTTTCTTTCTGTATCTCCCATTTGTTTTTCATTTTTTCTAAACATCACAATGTTGTATAAACTTGAAAAAAGTTCTACTGCGTCATTTTTTAAGACGTAGTTTTAAAGTTCTTTTACGAATGTTCGAATTCTGTGATATATTTCTATAGACTTATGGTTGGGACTTCAACTTATACACAAAACAGTGAACACGGCGAGGATTTCCGAAAATCAAACACTTGGTTTGAATAATAATTATTACAAAAAAGCGACATATCCATAGCAACATAGGAAGCAACTTGTTCAGTTGAAAAAAACATTTTTACATGTAGGGTATCGCAAATATCAATTGACAAAATTAATAAATTGTTTGAATGGCACCATATTGGCTCAAACAATTTGAAATTATCGACGCAGTAGGGATTGCATTCCAAAATAAGATATAAGTTCAACATATCCTTACACATCCAATTTGTACATCCAAAATGAATCGCCAAAGTAATAAAAATGAATCGATGCTACTACCATTTGGAACAATTTAATTTTTGATGGAGGATATCTTTTGTTCCTGAAATCCACTGAGCTATTATTTTGAGCAAACTTCATAAATATCGTTTGAAATGGATAAATTGAGGTTTAAATTTATTGAAACGATATAAAATTTACTTAAGAATTATGAAATGATTGACGCCTGCAGTTATACGTAGTGAAAACAACTGTTTGTGTAGTATAACTGATTTTAAACTGTAGAAACAATACACTAAACTACGATAAACACTCAAAAGATGGTAATACGTAATTAACAAGTTTCAAATTTAAAAAATAACCGTCGATGACACAGGTTTGTAAAGCTATCTTTCTTTGATGTATCGAGTAAAAAATATCATCTAAACAAGATCTCTCTTCTCTCTCTCTCTCTCTCTGATTGATTGCAAACGTCAACTGTTTTCTCTTCGTTATTCACCTGCAATAGAAATAAATGCCATGCACTCATGTGTGATAATTATTTGTCCCAAAAGTAGAATATTGTTTTTCTTTGTGTGATGAACCCGAAAACAAAGCATCATTAATGTATCACCACAAAATTCAAAACTGTAATCTTTTGCTATCCAACGATGGTGAAATCATTTCTGACGATGTAAACAATATGGCAAATTTATTGAAACTGTTTTTTTTTCAGGCATTATGAAGACTTTTATCGTTTTCCTCGTGGGATGCGTCTCCCTCATAAACGGGGGTGAATACCTTAACCGTTTCACCCAACAGTATAACAAAATACACGATGCAGCAAACGGATATTTCTCCCCAAAAGGAATTCCCTACCACGCGGTCGAAACTCTAATAGTAGAAGCACCTGACTATGGCCACCAAACTACATCTGAAGCCTACAGTTATTGGCTCTGGTTGGAAGCCATGTACGGTGCGGTCAACGGTGATTTTTCAAAATTCACCGCAGCCTGGCAGAATATGGAAACCTATATGATCCCAAACCATGCATCTCAGCCAACTAACAACTACTACAACCCCGGTAAACCCGCCACCTTCGCTCCCGAAGGAGATTACCCCAATCAATACCCTTCGCAAATGCAGTTCAACGTACCTGTCGGTCAGGATCCAATCTACCAGGAGCTTGTAAACACATATGGTACCAGTGACGTCTACCTCATGAACTGGTTGTTAGATGTCGACAACAAATATGGTTTCGGAAACCAACCAGGGCAGTGCCAACTTGGACCATCAGTAGAAGGACCTTCTTTCATGAACAGTTTCCAAAGAGGTCCCCAAGAAAGTGTGTGGAGAACCATCCCCCAAACTACTTGTGACAATTTCAGATTCGGAGGTCAGAACGGTTTCTTGGACTTATTCGTAGGAGACAGTCACTACGAACAGCAATGGAAATACACTATCGCCTCTGATGCAGAGGCTCGTGCTATTCAAGCAGCTTTCTGGGCTTTGCAATGGGCAAAAGATAAGAACCAACAGTGGGCTGTTTCAGACACCATATCCAAGGCTAGTAAAATGGGAGATTTCTTGCGTTACGCCTTCTTCGATAAATACTTCAAAAAGATTGGAAACTGCATTGGAACTTATGCCTGCCCTGGAGGATATGGCAAAGACAGTGCTCATTATTTGCTCTCTTGGTACATGGCATGGGGAGGCTCCCTCTACGGAAACTGGGCCTGGAGAATTTCAGATTTCTATGCCCACTTTGGTTACCAAAACCCAATGACGGCTTATGTCATGTCTAAGGTTGATGAATTCAAACCAAAAAGCCCTACTGGTGTTTCTGACTGGGAAATGTCTCTCGAAAGGCAGATAGAATTCTACGAATACCTGCAATCTAAAGAAGGAGCTTTCGCCGGTGGTGCCACAAACTCTTATGAAGGACGTTACGAAACTCCACCCGCTAACCTAATGAACAATACTTTCCACGGTATGTGGTATGAATGGGAGCCGGTTTACCACAACCCACCCTCCAACAGATGGTTCGGTATGCAAGCTTGGTCTACTGACCGATTGGCCCAGTACTACTACGTCAGTGGAGATGAAAAGGTGAGACCTCTTCTGGACAAATGGGTTAACTGGGTTCTCCCAGAAATTTCTTACGACGCTAACAGCTACAAGATTCCCGAATGGCTTGACTGGTCTGGCGTTCCACCAGCAGTTGACGTGTCCATTGAAAAATACGGTACTGATATCGGTTCTGCTTCTGCACTGGCTAGGACTCTCTCTTATTACGCCGCCAAGACCGGAGACCAGAAAGTAAAGGCTGTCGCTAAGGGTTTATTGGATGGTATCTGGAATAATCATCAAACCACCAAAGGAGTTGCTATGGAAGAGGTTATGGACGCTTATTCTCAATTCAACGAAGAGGTTTATGTACCCCCAGGTTGGGTAGGCCACTACCCTGATGGAACCGAAATCAAGGCCCCCACTACCTTCATTGGTATCCGTCCATGGTACAAGAATGACCCCGATTGGCCCAAAGTTGAAGCTTATCTCAATGGCGGTCCTGCTCCAAAATTCACTTACCATCGTTTCTGGCAACAGTGTGATATCGCTATTGCCCAGGGAACTTACGGACTCTTATTCAATGAATAATGTATCTGATGTTTTATAATTTTCACGATATAATAAATGATGGCAAGTAATATTTTTCTTTAAGTTCTCTATTTTGATTAACTGTGAATACCCAGAGATTCGACAAAATAATAAATGAATCGTAAATTGTGAAATGCATAATTTTTTACGATTTTGAGTGAATGCAGTTTTTTTCAAATTGGAAAGAATATAGGAATTTGGGAACTGTGCTTATTCTGAATTGAATACACAAACATAATACACTCTCATCCTCAATGATGTACTTCGAAGTTTTGGGACTAGACTTTCGTCTTATCACTTCTTCAGCACCGGTTTGGATAACATTACAAGATGAAACATTCATTTCTTTTATTTTTGTGTTCTTAAACTGTAGACGCGCATTATGGTGTGGAAGGTGGCCATAGTTTTTCATTTTCAGTGTGTTTTCAAGTATGATTTTTTTTAATGATTGGGAAAAGGAACCAATTTGTAATCGTTCAGAACAAATGAAACTTCGTGTAAAGAATACTAGTGAACTGAATTTATTAAACCCAAACAATTCGTCTTTTAGTCACTTCCAAAGTTTACTAGGTTTTTATTTGGTTTACCTTAGTTTTTTGGTTACATTAGTTTTTCTATGTGTCTTTCTTGTCTAAATAAATCTCTCAACCTATGTATTGTTTTTATTAACCAGATGAGACAATCGATGGGAACTAGAACTGCTGTGTGTTCCAAAGAACCAGCATCATTAAAAATTTTATTTTGTTGTTTTGAAAATGTAAATGATAAAATTCCGTAGAATTAGCATGATTTCATCATGCTAATACGACGTTGTTTTTTTCTTGTTCAACCAGCAGCAGGACCATGCTGAAATTATTCGAGTGGATCACCTACAGACCTTTCCTGCGGAGAAGAAACAGCCCATCTATGAATACTCTAACAGAGATCAAAACGTGTATGGACACTGTATCGAGGAGTGATACATACGTTTATAGGACTATATCTATATCTTCAGAAATGTTTATTTCGCTTGTCATAAGTACCAATTTATGATTATTTGAATTGGTTAAACAGGTCTACTGCATTTAATGGGGAATGTTCCTCTTAATGAAAATCAAGTAGTTTTCATAAAAGAGCTCTAAGACAACGCATTTTAAACTTATCATTTCAACCTTTTTCTTTAAAAAATTATTCAAATACTTAAAAAAGAGGAATGAAATAATACATTCAACATGGATTCGTTTCTATTTCACCATTTGGCAACATCGGTTATAGTTAATAAAGGACAATGAATCTGCTACCTGTATAAGACAAACAAAGATGACATATTTCAGAGGCGTGCTGTTCTGTTTATTTATGTTCTGAATTCCGAGACATTCTGTGACATATGACATTTTGTGCACCTAACATATCTTCCTCTATATGAATAAATAACAAAACAACTGTTGTTTATGTGGCTTGTGGAGGTGGTATTGAAGTATAATTTATATTTTGCCTTAATTGTTGATTTATAAAGATAATGTTCCTTTTTCAAAGTAGAATATCTAGGTACGTATAAATTATTTCAACTTGATATAGGCGCTGTTGCCAATATGTGAATTAGAAACAAATCCTTTTAAAAATTAAAACCCAACAAAACCCATCAATTTGAATACTTTTCGAAGTGAATTTGAAAAACTCTTGAATTAAACTCAACTTTATTTTGTTCTAACTTGCATATGCTGTAATAACCCAAATTGAGGAACATTCCCTACTCTCCTGTGAAAGATGCTCAGCCATCAACTATTTCATCGTTTTCATACATTGAAGGAAATACTAAATAAAATTTCAGGTGTACATGATGAATGTTCGATACCTGTTGCAGACGCCTGTTCTGCGTTTTTAAACATAAACTAGGTCGTGAACACGTCGAAGAATATTATATTACACAATCTCCTGCGTCTTGTGAAACTTCGATTCACCTTGAAAAGAAGAGGTGGCACCTGAAATCGAGCAAGCGTTTCGTTTGAACCGACAACAAATTCAAAGAGCTCTTCATATGACTTACAGTCTTCTTTTCTGCTAATTGTACTTCGCGATTTCGGTCGAAGTTGACAATGAAGGGTTTTTCGAAATGTGCGCGACTGATGAGTGTTTCGAGTGCTCAGGCTCAAGATGTGATCAGCAGTGCTGATAAACTTGTGGAAGCTGGAAGAGCTCGCCCTTATCAGAGCATTCCTGGACCGAAACCGCTGCCTTTCCTGGGCAATACTTGGAGATTCTTACCTCTAATAGGTCAGTAATGTGGAGGAAAATCTATTTTACTGAGTGTAATAAGTTTTGCGGAATGAATATAAAATATTCACATTATTCTCAGCAACTTCTCTATAAGTGATTCAAAAATTCTTTATAACTTTCTTTACTCAACATTTTCATCGATTGTTAATGTGCTGATGCATCCAGGGCAAGCGTCGTCATTCATATCTTCTCGACCTTCTGTGAAAAGCCTGTACCACTTGTAAACATTTTTCTGACTCAGAGTACAACCACCGTATGCCACTGTCAACATTTCAAGTGTTTTTGAGCACTCAATTCAATTTTTTGATAGCAGAAAATCACCGAACACGCGAAGCACTTTCTACTTTTATACTCGATACAACATAAAAAAAACACTAATGGAATCTACGTAGCTCGCGAAATTTTAACATTTACTTTATTTTTTAAAAGCCCACGTTTATATAGAGTGATAGAAAAATCATATATGTAGGAAAACTAAATTTGATCCACCCATTCTCACCCCTACTTTCCTCTTGTCATTTTTGGAGACACGGGTATTGAGTATTCAAGTAATTTTCTGAAAATGCAAATTCTGACTAGAAAATGGCATTAGAGATATTATGTAAAGTGACAAAATTTGATTCGCCCCTTCAAAACGCTACCTGGTGCACCCCGTGTGAAACCCTTGAAGTTTCATGAATTTTCCCAACCTAACCTGACCTAACCTAACCAACTTAACCTAAACTAACAAATTTCTTGATGCCCCATTTCAGTTTCATGAATGAGATTACTATTCTTCTGAAATTGTTAATAAAATGGTCTTTTAAAAAATGTTGAAGATATATCAAACCTAACCTAACCTAAACAACTCAACCTAACCTAACCTATCCAATTTTTTGATGCTCCTATTTCAATTTCTTTAATGAGATTACTATTCCTCTAAAATTGTTAATAGTATGAGTCTTGCAAGGAATTTTGAAGATATATCTAACCTAACCAACTTAACCTAACCTAACCTAACCTAACCAATTTTTTGTTGCGTCCACTTCAATTTCATGAACAAGATTACTATTCTTCTAAAATTGTCAATAGTATGAGTCTTGTAAAAAATTTTGAAGATATATCTGACCTAACCTAACCTGACCAACTTATCCTAACCGAACCTAACCAACTTAACCTAACCTAACCTAACCTAACCAATTTTTGATGCGTCCACTTCAATTTCTTGAATAAGATTATTATTCTTCGAAAGTTGTTAATAGTGTGAGTCTTGTAAAAAATCTTGAAGACATATTTATTGTTCATACAGTCATGTTTTTTTAATTCGATTGGCAATTCACCCAGAAAATTGAATAAGTAATTTGAAGAAATGAATTAGATATTTTGACAAATATAAGCAAATTGTGACTGACGCTTGTCCAAATTCATTTTCTATCAGTACTTTTCCGACGTTTTTTCATTGAAAAAACAAAACAACTTCCTATGATTGTATACATTTTCGAATAACATCAACATTGAAGTATATTCTACAAAAGTCACTTCTTTTTCTTAAAGCAATTGTATTTTTGACTATTATTTTTTTGCTCTTTTTCCTCAGGCGACTACGAAATAGAACACATCGATAAAGTATCAGAAAAATTGTACAAGGAATACGGGAAAATCGTTAAGTTAGAGGGACTTATGGGCCGTCCTGACATGCTGTTTGTTTTCGATCCAGATAACATAGAACAGGTTTTTAGGCAAGAGGACATCCTACCACACAGGCCCTCCATGCCATCCTTGAATTATTACAAACACGTACTGAGGAAGGATTTTTTTGGAGAATACGGGGGAGTTATAGCGGTGTAAGTGACGAGAATTGTTATTTGCCACACAATCAAATAAAAGTATTTCATTTATCAATGATCATAACAGAACCGCTAAAGGTACGAAAAGCAAATAAGGCCCACCTAAGTTGATTATTCGGTTCAATCAATAATAGAAAGAAAAGGAAGTATGTCTCACGAAACTTGAATCAACTCCATAAAGAGATTAATAAGAAAACAATACCTAAGTATATAAAATTTGAATTGAAAGGGTTCATCTTTAGGAGAGATCACTTTTTGGGAAAGTAAGGTTTTGGTTTTCTAGTCCATATTTATACAAAAATAAATGTGGGAATCTTCCGAAGAAAGAAAGCAACAATACCCAGTTTGTATTACAAACATTCGTTATGGAATTGAATCAGATATCATTTACAGGATTCCTACATTTCCTAAATTTCACTTGTATGGAACACTGTCATGAAAAATAGGGGTTCATAGATTGTATTGAATTTCGTCAGTTTTGAAATTGGTAACCTGAAGTTTTGGGTCAATAAAAAATATTGTAACTATTTGTTTAAAATGGTCTGTTACGAAACTCAATGTGACAAACTAAATTTGACGCCGGCGAAGCTGCGGGCAACAACTAGTTGTCTATATATTCTTCAGCGACATTGATAGACTTCCAACCACCGTGTCTCTTCAATCTTGTGACAAACCTTCAAAAATCGAAATATCAACTAATCTCATGTCAAATCGCTGTTAGTCATTATTTCGCTGCCATGGTGATGATCGAATACATTTATCAAATCCATACCTACCAGGATTTTCTTAATTATAATGACAACAACGATGTGATTCTTCTCGGCCTAGTCCGGGAAATACGTACTTCCAGGACTAGGCCCTAAATTGTTTCTTCTTCTAATATTACCACTATTATTATTATGCTGAAAATCAATCAGTTTGGAATCTGTAATGTTTTTATGGTTATTTCAGACATGGAGAAAAATGGCAGTCGTTCAGATCAAAAGTCAACCAGATCATGCTTCAACCCAGAGTAGCAAAAATGTATGTGTCCTCAATATCTTCCACTGCCCAAGAATTTGTCGACAGGTGAGTAAACAATATTTATCCAACAATTCAAGCAAGCTAACAAAGTGGAAATTATATCATAGCATAGTATCAGTCAACACTTAATAGTGAAACTCATGTTTCTCAACAAAATTTATCTACACGGTGTTCCAAATGAAATTTGTCCTCTCCTGTAGCTCAGAAGAAGGCCTAATTTAAAAAATGTGCAAGAACACGCCAATTTTATTTCGAAGGAATCTAATTTTCATTGTTATTCCTACGCGAAAATTTATTCCTTTGGGTAAGACGGTGGACAACTGGGATATCAATTTATGAGTCTCGACCCCCCAAGGGGAAAAACAGGTTCAAAGACTGTATACAATTTTTTTTGTTTTGAAGTTGGGAACCTGAAGTTTTGGGTTATTAAGAAAATATTGTAACTATTTGTCTAAAATGGTCTGTCACGCAACTTGTGACAAACCCAATTCTACGCGGATGAAGCCGCGGGAAACAACTAGCTGTAGTGGCTTGCATACAAATATTGCATGCTTATACTTTCTACTATATTCAACAATATTATCGATCAAGGTTATCGAAATTGAAATCAGATACCTGTTGCCACAAGCAAATTTAAAAAGTGTTTTCTTCCTTATCATCTTCATGGAATGTTTTGCTATCTTTTCAATAACCTTCAGATATTTTAAAAATTACATTATATTGTTCCCCGATTATATCTCTGACATGACGTGAATAGTACATTAACCTGCTATTATTGTAACAGAATAGAAAGCAGTTAACGTAACCTTCGTATAAATCTTCTTCGAGTAATGAACAATAATCAGAAATGTGAATGGCTGCATGAATGGCTGCTTAAGATCGGCTACAATACCAAGGATCTGGAAATCATCAAAAGTCTGACCCATTTTCAAGAACGGAGATAGACGAGATATTTCAAATTATCGGCCTATCTCAAGATTCTGCTGCAGCGAGTTATATATCGGCATGTAAGTTGCAATATAAGTATGAACCAACACGGTTTTATGAAAAATCGTTCAATGGTCACCAATCTTCCGACTGTAACCCAACATATTGCTGAATCTATTGACAGTAGGGCCCAAACTGATGTTATTCACACAGATTTTTCTAAGGCCTTCAACAGGCTTGACCATGGACCACTGAACAAACTAGTAGCCTTTGGATTATCTCCATCCTTATTCGCACTCTTTCAGTTCTATCTACGGGATTGAAAACAATATGTTCAGCTCAATGGTTTCAAATCTACCGAATATAATGTTTCTTCCGGTGTTCCACAAGGTTCAAATCTTGGACCGTTGCTCTTCAATATATTCATTAATGATATTGCAGATGTTATAGATGTGTATTTCCTTTTATATGCCGATGATCTAAAACTATACTGCCTCGTTGAGAACATGGATGATAGTGTGAACCTCTCAGCAAACTTAGATCGGGTTATAGAATGGTACTTGTTTGTGATGTATTTATTATACTCTGTTATTTCCTGCTCTGTAATTGGGCTATGTCCTGTAGAGTATTGTATTACAAATAAATAAATAAATGACTGATAATGATACGTCATACTATCTACTCATAGAATAGAGTAAAGAATTGCGGAGATATATAAAAAAATCATAATCCAAAAGACATGAGATGAGGTTTTTCAAAGTTCCACATCTTTTGACTTGCAGTGAAATCTGTCCTGAGAAGACTGATTATTTTCAAAATTCATCCAAAGAAAATTTGTAGTCTTGATTTATCTTGTTGAACCTATTTCAGTTCTTTAACTAACAACTTATGTTTCTGAAAAGCAGGCCAGTCGTTGAAATATTTTGATCAGTTTAAATCATTGCTATAATAACACACACCTTTTTCTATTTTCCAATCCCTCAGTGGACTCTGACTGAAGAAAAAATCAGTTATTTCCACAAAGGCACTTTTCTAAGGAATCCAAAAATTTAATGGAATTTCAGTTAAATTTGAATTGAGATATATCAGGTTGATTCAAATGTTTTGTCCGTTTTAATGTCATGTTTGTTATGGGATACCTATATAGCATAAATAGGGTTAGCTCGCATTAGTTTCTAGTTTTAATCTTCCTCTTTGAAGATGATCACTTGGTGATCGAAACACGTGTCGAGGAGTTAAAAATAACGATTTGGTGTTGGAAAAAAACTCCAGTAATATAGAAACAAATCCCTTAGAAAATTAAAACCAAACATTTGGAACATCAATTTGAATACTTTTCAAAGTGAATTAGAAAAACTCATGAATTAAATTCAAATTTATTTTGTTCAAACTTGCATTTGCTGTAATAACCCAAATTGAGGAACATTCCCCATTCAAAGATAGGAAGCGCTTGAAGAAATACCTCATTATTATCATCATATTATATTGTGAAAATCTAAAAATCTCAATCATATAAGTAGTTTTTAGTATGACTGACTGAATTGTTACCGATAATAGAACACTAAACATCGGTTTCAATAGAATTCTGGTAATTGCGTAGAAAAATATCAAAATACAAGAAATTGGATATCTTGTTCAATCTCTATTGTGAACTTTACTGTCGGTTCCTGTTCTTCTATATGTTCAAAGAAACATTCGAATTATCATGGTCACTTTTTTTTACTCTTAGATAAAATTTACAATTTTGATGTCCCTCTATAAAATTGAAAAGATATGAAATATTTCAATGCCATATTTGGATTAAATATAGAAATTTCTGATAAATAAGTAACAGAAAATATATATTTTGCCAACTTCTTGGTATTTGTTGTGGTATAGACAGTATTATGATTTTCGTTAAATTTTCAGATGTTACATGAAAATTGTATGGTAATTCTTTTTCTAGAGCCCACTTCTCATCAGTACACATTCAACGAATCTACATACTTATCAGTATCGTTTTAAATATGTTTTTGTCAGAAAATATATCTTAGCACCTACGATCTTATCAAATATTTGTTCTACTCTTGATAGATACCTTGCAATAGATGTTTCACCTCAAGTGGATTGTTTTTTTTGGTACATTCAAAATTTCCATGATATCATTTGAAAATAATCGGGGTGCTAGCCATCAAAATTGATTGGATTCTTGTTTGTTTCAAGGATTTGCATGAAATATATCAACAAGAGTTTGAAGCGAAACACTGAAGATGTTCTTGAAAATAACGAAATATCTATTCTGCAAAGAATACTACGATTGGAAAACGATCCAAAAATCGCCACTATACTAGCTTTGGACATGTTCTTGGTTGGAATTGATACGGTAAGAAAATCGCAAAATGAAATGAATTGAATTATTAATTTCATCTCAGTATTAAATTATCCATTATACCCTCAACAGAATGAAATGAAATTGGAATCCTTTGAAATATTAGCTGCGGTCGAAGTTGAAGTTGATGGGGAAACGTACTGAGCTTCCACAGCATTGCTGTGTTCAGGTTCTGATGGAGCTGGAGGCTGAATGGAATCTACTATACTTTTTTAAATTTTCATTTTGTTAGCTATGGAGTTGTCGATACAAGATTCAGCAACATTGCTGGATTTCCAACCCCCATGGCGTTTTAAAGTTAAAAGATCTGCCCCTGCATTAACTAAAATAGTCGCAGATGACCTTCGGGGACTGCCCAGCAGCTTATACAGATCAGACAGGTAGAAACTTCGGCATAAGATACCGAGAACATGTATTATCAGATAAAAAACCAGCCATATATAGACATCTAAATGAAACAAACCATACAATAAATAAAGGAAACATGAAAATTCTTGTGGCCTTACAAGCCGAAACCGGTCGTAACGAATAAATAAACACAGTAGAAACTAGACAAAAGTATTTTCTTTATTCTATATTTAACATGAATTTCTACAAAATAAATAAGTCATCAATCGAACGAGTCTTCAGAAGTTAATGTTTTTGACTGTTTTGGAGCATATTTTTCAGATTTGCGTTTTAAAAATGCACGTAGTTTTACGTATTTTGATATATCAACACAGTTTTTAATAATTTAGGTAGTCCTCAGCATCGAGTACTGAGACCATAATGTTGATGATTTCAATCTTCTTGACAACTCTTCAAAATAAACTAACAAGGTATTTTCGGAACAAGAATTTACCTTGGCTTTCATTTTCCAGCCCATAAAGTTTCTGTAAGCGATTTCATGTTTTTCTCCTGATGTGCTTGGTAGCAAATTATTGCAAACATCTATTGCTTTCTGAACAATTGATACAGTGTGTCTCACTTATCATGGAAATACCCCCGTATCTTTCGTAATATTCGAGGTAGAACGATGAAACTCTCAGGACTTATGGAAATGCTCAAAATGCACCTACCACCTGAATATGGTTGGCAAACGTTATACATATACACTGTCCGCCACCCGCGATTGAACACCGCATTTTTACGGTAAAACATATTAGGGGGCAAAATAGGCTCAAAAGTCCTTCAGATTCGTGATCAGGACTACCAACTTACTACGATTACACTTTTTTCCTGAAAAAATTTCAGTCCTGAAAAATCCGAATTTGTCTCACTTCTTATGGAAACACCCCCGTATCTTCCGTAATATTCGAGGTGGAACGATGAAACTCTCAGGACTGATGGAAATGCTCAAAATGCACTTACCACTTGAATGGGGTTGGCCAAAGTGATATACACTGTCCGCCACTCGCGATGGAACACCCCATTTTTACGGTAAAACATATTAGGGGGCAAAATAGGCTCAAAAGTCCTTCAGATTCGTGATCCGGACTACTACTCACTACGAATACACTTTTTTCCTGAAAAAATGTCTGTTCTGAAAAATCCAAATTTGTCTCACTTCTTATGGAAACATCCCCGTATCTTCCGTAATATTCGAGGTGGAACGATGAAACTCTCAGGACTGATGGAAATGCTCAAAATGCATCTACCCCTTGAATGGGGTTGACCAACGTGATATACACTGTCTGCCACTCGCGATGGAACACCCTATAGTTTCATGGTTCTACCTCGAATATTACGGAAGATACGGAGATGTTTCCATAAGAAGTGAGACACACTGTATATACACAATATTAGCTAATTCACGCAACTTCACTTTTCGATCTTTCAAAAGGATTTTGTAAATTTTTTATGTTATCTGGTGTTACTGCCACATTTGGACGCCTACGGCGTTTTGCATCAACGATAGAGCGGAGTACTCAAACATTTTTCAAGGCATTGCTTCGCTTGAACAGTATATTTCCTTTTCTGATCATGAATACTAAAGAAAGCCATTGATATCAGACATTTTTACAGTATATCCTAAGTATATATTTTATTAAATTAGAACATATCCATGTTATTGGTAGCTGATTGTACATTTCTATATGAAAATGTAATCATCAGGAGATGACTCCTGATGATGCTGACTTACTCTACGAAAGCTAGGACTAGGACTGGAGTTAGGACCTCTATAACAGTTTTTACTAATTGATTTGGAAGCGAAGGGTATTGAGAAGTTACCAATGTGCCCAGTTATATAAGTATGAGATGGTTTCTGGAGTTCATTTTTATTTAAGAACTGTGTTGTAGTTATGCTAATAAAAATTATTGTCTCAGATCAAACATATTAGACTCTTCATAAAGACCGTTACTTAAATATCTATTATTTCTGTCGAGAACCATTCTCAAAAAACGTTTTTGTGCCACTTCAAGATGTTTGAGATGACTTTTAGAGACTTTCTCACTTCCACATAGGTATTTCTTAATTTTTATATAAAAATGTTTTTTGAGATATAGAAGTAGAACGTCAAGAAAACTTTTTCTCAAAAAACACAAATCCAACCCTGAAATCCATTTGTTCGCATATATGAGTTAATTCATAACTTTTCCAAGTTTTGAATAGTGAAACTACTATATTCAAATCCGTATTCATCAAATGAAAGATCAGTTGATAATATATGTAGAAAAAAAACTATTTCACGAAAATCATATGGAAATGAAAGTGAATAAACATTGAAAAAAATATTCGTCAATAGCATATCGAAGATATTTTCGACCTTCAATTAGAGAACAATCTGGCTAGAACAACGCTCCATCATTTTTGTTAATCCAATCTGACATTTGAATGTAAAAATGATCTGATGATCGAAATGTTTTTCGAGAATGTTCGCAAAATTAAAGATAACTATTATCATGACGCTCATGAAATTGATTCATAAGCACTTGGAGAAAACATATAATAGTGAAATGATAAAAATTTGGTGATGTGGAAAACAGAATTGGAAATGAGAGAAGGTCATTTATGTATTCATAGAATTAATAGGTATTTTTTCCAGTGAGATAAAAGGAATGCACTCCTTTCATTACACAATGCTTTCCAAAAGAGACAAAGTTTATAAAATTGTTCACCCTTAGAGACTTTTAACCTTAAATTTAAAAAGCACTTTTGCTTATATCAGTTGATTTGATTGGCCAAACCACCAACGCCGACATAAAAACTTGAAAAATAAACTTAGGTGTCACGCCAATAGATGGTTCCACTTATGTCTTTGTTGAATAATTGAGGCGTGCTCAATTTTTAATATATTTATACAACGTTATCAACGAATAATTACAAACTTCACAACTTATTTTACTTCTAGCGTTCATCACTCTTCTTTGTTGCTTGCAACATCATTTCTTTCAATATCATAAATCCACAGAACTATCTTATACTACTCAGTCACGGAATAAAATATACAGAAAGATACTAGGTGGCAGCACCACTCACATAAGAAACAAAATGTACTCATATACTTTCAGAGTTTTTCACAGTTTGTTTTCCATCATGGACCGCCTCCCCGGTACTGACGATGCCCAACATGTTGAAACAGCTGTCTACCGGTGGCTCTTAAATTGGGATTGAATTGTGAATGATCTTTATGCAATTATTTTTGAAAAATTATTTTCCAGTCGCTTGACTGCTGGAATGAATAATGATGAATAACTCAATAAATTATAGGCTCTGAAGAATCTTCAAGTGGAAAGCGAGAGTTTGACGAAGTAAAGCAGATATTTTATATTTAATTTTTGACTGTACATTTCTGTACATTTCTCAAGTCACTAAGATAACCCACAATATATACTTGCATCATATTCTGAACTGTTGAAATGGTAACAACCCATTCTGCCACTAAATAATATTAAAGAGTATTTCACCATCAAATGAAAGTTGGTTGGAGTGAAGTGACTTGTTTGGTACAACAAAATAGTATTACTACTATATGTGATCATTATTACACAAGTTAATAACGTAATATGAACGTGATTGTACGACAATTCGAAGAAAGTATTTTGTTTTCCTACAATGAGCAAGCATTACCTGAATTTCATAACTGTATATTGAAATATTTAAAGAAAAGCTTCTAGAAAATCAACGCAACATATATAGTTACTCAGTTAATCAAACTAATATTCATAATCATAATCGTTAATTTTCAGACTTCTAACGCTGTCGCTTCAATACTGTATCAGCTCGCTGTCCATCCAAAGAAGCAAGAAAAACTCAGAAAAGAAGTGTTTCGAGTATTACCAAATATTAGTTCAGCTGTAACCCACGAGAAACTTGAGGAAATGGTATATCTGAAGGCCTGTATCAAAGAAACCATGAGGTATATTGTATTTTTTTTCTTGTCGCAAAACTAATGATGAATTTTCCCAAGAATATTCGCCTATTTATGCATCTACTTCTATTTTGTCCCTTTCGAAGTAGTGTTACATCAGATGTAATACTCTTGTGCCAGCGTTTTTTCCAATCCTCCAAGCTGTTCCGATATGTATTTTCTGATATGTCCTTGATCTCTCTCAGTCAATCGATTTGTATCTCCTCAATCGTCGCAAAACGCCGTCCTCTCATGGATCTCTTCAATCTTGAAGACAGGAAAAAGTCGCAGGGTGCCAAACCTGGTAAATTCGGTGGCCGAGGCATGATTACGGTGTTGTTTCTGGACAAAAATTATGAACAAGCAATAAAATTATCATGATGCAAAAGCCATGATTTTTTTCCACAATACCGGACGTTTTCTTCGTATTGCTTCTCGCAAGGGGTGTAGGCGTGCTTTCTTGGTCTTGGCTTTCCTGGGTTCTTAGATTGGGACGATTAGACTTTGATTTCCATGTCATAACCATATAACTATGATTCGTTACCATCCTTTTGAGCAAATCTGGATTGCCGTTGACGTCATTCAACAATTCCAGAGCGATTCTCGTGGGACGGTTTCTTTGGTCAAAATTTCGCCATTTTGGAACGAACTTTGCTGCCACACGCTTCATGCAAACAATTTCAGAAAATTGAAGAAATGGAGAACTGTATACATTATTTGCTGGCATCATAGACTTTTTTGATAAAAAAAATAACCCAATATTACAAATGCATTGAATATACCACAAATTCACAGCCTGTTATAACAGAATTTTTTTTATTTTTATATGAACTCCCACCAAGCAACTTTCAAAACTCAAGAATATCCAAATTGAAACATTTTTGTAATACATATTATAGTGTTAGCATTTTCTGTTCAAAAAAGTTATGGTCTGGTTCGATATTTTCTTTTTTTCCGACAAATAATAAGAACATTTGTGGGAAAGAAAGTTTTTGGCTTTTTACTACTTCATCTTGACACAAAAACCTTCTTCCCCAAAAATTAATCACTCCTAAAAATATAACCCTTTCAATTCAAATAAGAAAATCTACAGCAATTCACATGAATCAATTGATTTTTTTCTAGATATATCAAAAACAGTTTCGATTCTTTATTTCAGTTTTCACTAAATTCAAATACTTATTTTTCAGGATGTATCCTGTTGTAATTGGCAATGGTCGACAAACAAGTTGTGACACGGTAATTGCAGGTTACCACATACCTAAGGGTGTAAGTTCTCCTCTTCGGATTCCCTTTAGAATATTCAATTATACGATGTGACTGACCCATTCAAAATTATAGTCCACTCAAGAATATAAACTAAAAATTATAACCACACCACTGGATTCATAACGATGTAGAAATGCATTCATCGATAAAAAAGATATAAAGGAATGAAATTTGAAACATATGCCGTCCATCTCACCGATTGACTTTCACAACTTTCATCAAATTTCTCACATATAGTCAGTGGCAATACAACTGCCGCAGTATTGCGGGTTATATCCCTAACAGCATGTGCAGGAATACCTTCAGTGAAGAATCCTGCACTGACACCTGTCGGATGTGTGTTCCAATAATCGAAAATCTATTGCGGCAGTTGTACCGCCAACAGCATATGTCGGATATAATCCAAAGCCCTTCGTGGTATCAGCCATTAATCTCCCACAGTGTGAAAAATGAACGACGATAAGTTCAATAATTAAAGGGCAAACTGTAGAACATTGAACACCCAAAAAATAGTAAGAAACATTGACTCTTCCACAAAAAATGTACTGTGAAATGTGGTATAATAATTAAATGACATATTTTTCTAATTGTATTTCCTCATAATTTGTTCAGTGACATCATTTTTCAATTATTTCAAAAATTGGAACTGAGTGTTGTGGTTAGATTTTTCAAAAAAAATCGCAAATGATATTTTAGATTTTTGTCATTGAGAAATGATAAAAGTTGGTTCTAGAAGACTTCTTGAATGTCTACCTAATGAAAAAAGTAATGCCAATAGATTAAACCCAATTTTTTATAGGGTGCTTCCATTTTAAATGTCACACTGTATATAACGATTCATTTCTGTTACTTTTTAGGTTCAAGTGATTTTTCAACATTACGTCATCAGTAATCTCGAGCAGTACTTTCCAAGAAGCAAAGAGTTTCTTCCAGAGCGTTGGCTAAAATCATGTCCGTTCTCCAAAGAACAACACCCTTTTGCATCTTTACCTTTTGGATTCGGCAAAAGGATGTGTCTTGGGCGAAGATTTGCCGACCTGGAAATGCAGACAGCACTAGCGAAGGTAGAATAGAAAAAAACTAATCTCCGATGATATCTTCATCCCTACAATCACTCTGTGTTATTTTACTGAGCATTAGGCCAGTTTTCTTCACTTCCTACAGCATTTGTTGATTAGCCAAATCTTTTTTATTGAAATTTGAAGTTATTTTGAGTAGATGTTTACAGCTGATTCTCGGCCTCCCCCCACCACTATGACGTCACGTGGGGTGGATGACCTAGACCGACTCATGTGACCCTGAGAAATATGTCTGGTGCATGCCACCTTGAAAAATATGTATGGTGCATATGACCTTGAAAAATATGTCTGGTGCATAGGTGGTATGTGTACATCACAGAATACAGCCGGTTCTGGGCCTCCCCCACCACTATGACGTATTAATTGCTTTTTTTGTTGTTGTTTGAACCTATAAGGTCGAATATCATCACGAAAAGTTGGACTACTTCGTCCATCCAATGTACACTCCAAATGGGCCTTTGAAACTCAAGTTCATCAAGCATGGTAGCTGATAGGAATAGATTTTATTGAAAACTATTTTGTCTGTGATTATTTTTAAAAAAAAGGAGACTGTGTATACTTCAGCAAAACATTTTAATTAAGATTATCTCCTAGCAAATAGTACTTACTCGAATAAATCTGAATATCTAAATTGTTTTGCTTATCAATTCCACATTCCTAATGTAACAGAATACAACATACCAGCACATATGCTAAGACGACAGTGATGGGTACAATTTATGTCCGCTCTGCAGGAAAATTTTTCGAAGTCCTCGTTTAGCGCAAAACCCAACAAAAAACTTGAGGAAGTAATGAAAAAACATTAAAACTCTGTCCATCCAACAAACAAAGTAACCCAAACAATGATTGATGTGTGATCAAAGCATGATCACCACGCACATCTGCATCTATTGGGTAAAATGAAAAAGCTTTCTTACGCTGGCCAATCAGATTTAACTGCAATCGGCTGGCGGAATTCATTGTTACAGTTTCGGAATGGTCAGTTTCGTTTAAAAGCCTGTGGTGTGTGCATATACGGTAAGATTAAAATGTTTAAAATGTCAAGTACTGATACGGCTGAAGAAACTGCTAATTTGTGTCTTTTCAGTCCACCTAAAAAAAATTCCTATACCCAGTCCATATCACAAAAATCATAAAAATTCAGTCGTTCCTTAGTGCGGCTCTGTACAAGCAGCCTCGTCTGGGAAATCACGTGCACTATGCACGATAATGAACACTGTTGCTTAAACGGACAGTGTATAGAATTGAAATATAGACATAAGTTAATACTAGAGAGTATCATTTTCTAACCTACTTACAAATTAGACAGTTCCAACAGTGGTCAAGGATGAAATAAATACTGCTGACGCAATTCCAAGCAGGGCATTCAAATATGTCTAAACATTTTTGGGACCACGAATAATCAGGAAGCAAACCGAAATGATAAACAGCCAGGTATAGAAAATGAGAGAAACACAAAAATATATTTCAATGAATGAACTTTGTCAAATTTGGACTGCCTGCTTTGGCTGTTTGAACTGCCATTGTTCAAAAACAGTTACCAGAAATGAAACATATGAGAAATTAAAATGATAAATGAATGATAGAGTAGAATTATTAATAATATCATATATTATTTGAACTGAGTCATCCAAATATTTCAGTGTTAAACAGTTTTGAAAGTTTAAACTGGTAACATTTACCGATGAACATTATTTGTCAATAACATTCAATCAAAACAGAATACATACACACTTCAATATGGGCCATAATTCTTCAATTTTTTGGAATAAGGAGATGCTTTGAAAATTCCAGTATGAGAATATGTACAATTTTTTATAATGGAGAATTTTAATGGAGAATTTTTGTACAAAACCGATTAATTGGAAAAAACTAAGATATTTTGAGAACATTTGTATTAAAACATTATTCAAATATTTGATTATTGGAAAGATCTTCATGTAGTAGTAGAGTTTATTTAATACAATTCTTGGATTTGAAATTTTCAATAAACATCTGATTATTAGACAAGAGAAGATAGAGATCACTGGCATAGGAATCCAAGAGACATTTAGCTGAGAGATAAACTATTCTTCCTTGAGAAATTTTCAAAATTATGAAAAGCAAAGCCAGATGTCAAACATTTATGTAAAAGGAAATAAACTCAAAAATGAAGGTTATTTTCATCAAGTATCAGCCGATTTCATCACAATCTCCAATCACCGACTTCTGGTAGTCTTCGTCTTCTAGTGAATATTACTTTGATTGGAGTTGACTAAAGATCTCTTTTAATCATTTTTAAACGTAACTCTCCGTCCGGTGCATACATGAAAGTCACTTTATAATCCAGGGGGCTATGGTGGAATTCCAGTTTGTATGAACGAATGAGCTGAAACAAAAGTTATGTAAAGAGATGATCAATAATGATAATACCGAAAATATGTTTATTCAACGAAGAATTACATTGAAATAAACATATTTACTCACAGAAAAAAGTGATCGTACGTGAGTGAGATAATGAGTTGGCCCGAAATGTTCGTGAGCCAACACAGCGATTATAGCGGTCATCCATAAAGCATCAAAACGTATATAGATATACGTTTTTGTATACCCCTCGTATACAATAATTGTATAAAACGCAAACCAATTCCGATGAAATGATAAACAATGAATATTACCATCTGAGGTGTATCGCAACAAACAACCTCCAGAGGGGGTAACGAGTGAATTTGATGGTAAACTTCGTTACACATTACCGACACATCCTTAACGTTATTCGATAGAAACGCTCGCGCAGTTTTGTCATTCTGTTGACTTGGTGCAGTATATCCCCTCTCTTTTGGGGTTGATAACCATCAAGTTTACTGAAAAAACTGCTCTGGATGAGATCAAGCGCCTGAAATGGTGTGAAATAGCGCTTGAAACGATCGAAATAACGCTTGAGACGGGCAACATAGCGCTTTAAACGATAAAAACTGCTCGAATCGGGCAAAATGAAGCTTGAAACGATCCAAACAACGATTAAAACGGTGGAAATGGCGCTTGAAATGAGCGAATAAGTGCTTGAAACTATCGAAACAATGCATAAAACGGTGGAAATGGTGCTTGCAACCATCGGAACAACGCTTGAAACGATAGAAATAATGAATTTCGCTAGTTCGTACTTCCATTGTCTAATATATAAAATGATTTGAAATCCCTGAGATACCTAAAAGAGAAGAATTAAAAAATGAATAGCTGAAAATGAACATTATATTTAGCAAAAACCTCAAATGAAATAAAATACAAGTGAAAATTGAACAATTGAACAAAAATTAAATGAAAATAAACAAATGAAGAAAGAAAATAAAAATACAAAGTTAAGATATTCCAAGCCACGTTAGTTCACGACGTTTCGATTGTTGGTATCTACAATCGTCTTCGGGTGATGATAGAAATAACGCTTGAAACGATCGAAACAACGCTTGAAACGATCAAAACAATACTTGAAATGGACGAAATAGGGCTTTAAATTTCCGAAACATCTAAAACGTCTATATTTTTTCAGTCTTATCTTCGATCTGAATATCTCTGATACTCATTCCATCCTTCTCTGCATCGATTACGTCACACGTCTCTCTCTTCCACCGACTAAAGTTTCTCTCTGAAACACTTATCAACGACGCGCGACCTTTAAGTGTTTTCGGGACCATTTTGCTTATCTACTAGTTTGAATTTCCCGCTTTACGCGCGGTAGCTTCTGATTGGCTGACTGGATGACGGCAAAAGTGGAAGAGTGGGGATGACTACAACATACCTACCTTAAGTTGTGTGTGCCACAAAGTGCCCGATCGAAGGTGGTAAAATCGCCCAGACTGAAGCGACATAAGAAAAAGCATGGGATTATGGTCTGGAACTGTCCTAGCTATATTACTGATATGTGGAGAGAAAGCTTATCATTTTGCACCGCGTCAACGCACTATCTCACGAAGCCATCATAGGGAACGAATTTCTGCCGAAAACTCGAAGAATCTCATTAAACAGCCACCATATTCGCCTGATATGGCTCTGGCCGATTTTGTGTTTTTCCAAAATTCAAATTGCCACTCTAAAAAGCCTGTTTTCAGTCGATAAATGACATAAACGAGAATTAGTAGCGAGTACTGAAGTCGATTCCAAAAATTGTGTTTAAACGAATTCAACTAACCAACATTTTGAATTATTTTTCAGAAAAAGATTCTAGCACAAAATATTCCGACTGTTTTCAAAAATATTTCGATAAATAATAAAATACTTACTTTAGCTAGAAGCACTTGAATTTCCAAATCAGCGAATCTTCTTCCCAGGCACATCCTGGCACCATATCCGTACGGTAGGGAGGAGAAGGGGTGAAATTTAAAGTTTCCGCTTTCCTGTTTCAGCCATCTTTCCGGGCGGAACTGATCGGCTTCTGTAAACCTGAAAGTCTGATGAAAACCTACATATGATCGAAATACTCACCCCTTTGGGTACTTGATAACCCATCAAAACCATGTCTTCTTGAAGAGTCCTTCCATTTCCAATAACAGTAGAGTAGACTCTGGAAATTACCATTTTCAAGAATTATCACAAGCAAATTGAATCAAATTGACTCTACTCAATGAATATTATGTTCAAAATTTGAATGAACTAAATAACAGATGAATCGAATAACATACCGGAATACTTCTTTAACGAAGGCTTTTAGATAAACCATTTCCTCCATTTTCCTGGAATTTAGTGGTTCCGCAGGATCAGGTGAAATTTGTTTCAACTCCTGATACAACTTCTCTTGTTCGTCCGGCCTAGTTGCTAATTGGTAAAGAATAGAGCAGACAGCCATAGATATCTGCAAAAAAAGTTGGATGATAAATAATCTGGCACTGAAAGACTTCCTTCTTTTATTCAACGAAAATTATATTAAATTCATCTTTATCCTAACGAAGAAACGGTATAAAAAACCAACAAGCTCATCGCTCATGAGTTTTCTTCAGTTTACAAATCCACGTGTTTTGCTATTCAATAGCATCTTCAGGCGTCACAATACTGACTTAACAAATTATGTGTATTATTTGTATTATTATGACTATTAACTTCTGACAAATTTCTACATGATAAATTCATTACCTGAACTGTTTACCATTCTAGGAACAACTCATAAAACTGGAGAAAAATTAATACAATTTTCACCTCAGATCTCATTTTACCTATTTTTTAGATCTACCCCCACTACCAATTTCCTTATTGCAAACTGAATTCATTAAAGAGGAACAATCGTGTTAGGAATCGCACGTTACAAGGTAAGACTTCGTTAATCCTAAGCTCGCACAAGTTTCGACTTCTGAAGGTTGTCGTTCGTAGGGGTACGACAGCTGGTTAACGGGAAAATAGATTTTAAAACAGATTTGATCATTGAATTTTTACATCTGATGATTTCTGCAAATTTCAGAAGGTTGACTTTTCAATATTTCTTTCTCAAATGCAATACGTCATAAACGTGATTGAACTTGTGCCACTCTGTCAAAAGATGTATTCTACTAATTTCATTCGCAACACAGTGAGGTTTTCTCTGATCGATGCTAAATGTTTTTTTATTTCATCAATATCAGAATATATTGTTTTTCTTGTTATTGACATATGATCCAAATCAGATTGAATTCTACTAATTTCATTCGCAACACAGTGAGGTTTTCTCTGATCGATGCAAAATGTTTTTTTATTTCATCAAAAAAACGCAGAACAATATTCTGACAGAGTAACAGTTTGATCCTGACACAAGGCTTTTTAAAAAAGTCCAGTTTTTGAATCCATTTTTGAGTTGAAGAAATTATTTCTATTTTGTGTATCATTAATTCATATTATAATTTGAAAAATTGGGTTCAAATTCATTTTTATTGTTGAGGAAAATTCTTACTCGATGAAATAATCCATATTTTTCACATATCTCGTCCACAAAGATGTGGGAAAGTATCTCCAAAATGGAAATCTTAGCTCCAGCAGTGCGATATTACGTAACGCGTATTTGGCAGCGTCTATTATCTTCTGAGGTTCTGAATCAGGTGACAGATTAGGATCCAAACATCCTAACCTCACATCCAAAGAAACTCTTCCTATACCTGCAAAAAAACAATCTGTTGAAGTTTATATTGGTAGGAACACGATGTCATTTTTGTGTTGGAAATGCTGGTGATCTATATGTATTCAAAAGCTTTGGGAAAATGAATTTTGTTATTGTTAGTAAACAATGAATCTCAGAAATATGAAGCAAGTATTTAATATTGCCTTTTGTCCCAAATGTTTTTAACTTACACTCTAGTGCCCATTTATGAATTTCGTTGTCAAAATCCCCAGGCATTTCATCATTTTGGTCCTTCATTTCCAGCATTCTGAAAAATATAGTAATTTTTAATAATACTTTGCTAATAATACAAGTCTGCAAGAAAAAGCTGTCTGGATCTTTTCAACTGATTTTTATATATTGAAAAAATACTCAAAAAAGTCCAGAACGACAGGTTATTTTGCAAAACGCAAAATCGTGTTATGAAAAGGGATTTTTTGGGCTGGCTTGGGGTTCAAAAATAAATTGTTACAATTTTATTTTTAATACTGTTTTTAGGACCTGTGGCCTAAATTGCCCATTGGAGGTTTGATTGACATATTTAATATCTCACATGACCCATGAAAATGATGTATTTTCATAGATGCTTCAAAAAAAAAAGCCTGAAAGCAGTTCTGCTCCACAATGGCGGTTTCTGTGCTTCCATTCCTGTCGGTCATTCCGTACACCTCAAGGAAACCTACAAGAACCTGGAATTGATTCTTTGCAAATTGAAATATGAAGACCGCGGCTGGCAAATGCGCGTTGGTTTGAAAATCTTGGGCATACTGCTCGGACAACAATCTGGGTTTACCATTCTTCCTTGCTTTTTGTGTCTGTGGGATAGTAGAGACCGAGCAAATCACTGGACCAAAAAGTGTTGGCCCTCGAAGAACGTCCTGCATGAAGCTTTGGTGCCCCCCAATAAAGTTATTCTACCATCGCTTCACATGAAGATGGGATTGATGAAGCAATTTGTGAAGTCACTCTCAAGAGATGGAGATTGCTTCAAATACCTAATATCAAAGTTTCCAGGTCTCTCAGAGGCAAAGTTGAAGGAAGGTGGAAAATTAAGGAGATGGGAAAAAGATACCAGGGAAGATGGAGCGTCTCACATGCTTTCTACAAACGAAAATGTACGAGAAGGAGTCTCACTGTGGAAAAAAATGTGTTTAGTAACGTAATGGGTAATGTTCCTCTTGACAAAAATAAAGCAGTTTTCATAAAAGAGCTCTAAAACAACGCATCTTACACTTATCATTTCAACCTTTTTCTTTAAAAAAATATTTAAATTCTTAAAGAAGAGAAATGAAATAATGCATTCAACATTTAAAGGGATTCGTTTAAGTTTTCTTTGTCATCATTTCTGTCGTTAAGTTTTACCTTGCAAGTAAATAAAACCGAGTAATTATCATTCTGTGTTTTCTTCTTCAACTTATCCCAGCAATAGTAACAACAATTAGGTAATCATTGACTGTCGCGGGCCGGATTGATGACACTGGCGGGCCGGATTTGGCTCGCGGGCCGTAGTTTGGAGACCCCTGCTCTAGAGGTCTCAATTTTGTCTAGTAAGGTGACGTAGGGCGTCCACTGCTTTGATCGTTATTTATTTTCTTACCGGCTATTTCAAATATTGCTTTGATTTTCATTCATTTCGATTGAAATTCATGTAATTTTTTTCAAACAGTGCACACCGTGTCATGGCACTAGACAGGAAAGAAAAGATTGTTTATGATTTCTCGTGTGAATACTTTATGTACTACTTTTTTATATACTGCGTATTGATTTTTACTTACACCCCTACAACTCCTGCCAACTCCCCGAAAAACTCCTTTCGCACGTCACTTTTGTACTTGACCAAACATGGCATCGATGGCCTGAAAGGTGTAGGACCTTCTTGTCTGTAGATCTTCTCTATCTCGTCTGCGTCGTACAAGAACAGGAGGTCAGGTCTTCCCACCAAATTTGACAGTTTTACTATTTTTCCATATTCCTGAGGAATGTAAATTCTCTGATTGTTACGGCCGTACCTTGATATTTCGTAAACTATACCTTACGATTTGATCTTCACAAACTTCATTTTCAAAAATATATAACGATATATATCTTTAAAACGAGTATAACCGATCACTACACAATTGCCATAACACCTGATTTGGATAACACAAAGATCGATAAAGGAACGGAAACAAAAAAATTCACTAATTACGGAAAACTTAAACAAGATCTATTATCAGAAAACTGGGAAAATATGTGTACAACAGAACATGCCAATAATGCTGCAACAATATTTGTGAATAGATTACGATATCTTATAGAAAAAANTCCCTTAACAACAGTAATCGATTTTTAAAATTTGATCAAGGAGATTATAGTGAACTATCTAGTTTTACAATAAACATAAGGGTAACGGTTAAAAAAAATGGTACAAATAAGATTTAATTTAATAGATGCTCAAAGTGTTCACCATGTACATGCTGGCAAGTTGAAAATCTGCGGAATGTACAAAAACTTGACTGTTTTTCAAAGAAATAAAAAACTGAATGTGATTTTGTATAAAAAGTTATCTGTGAGTAGTAGTTTCTAGCGGTGCTAGTTCATTTATTTATAATAGTGATATCTATCTACAATGTTGTGTTGTCACTGTCAGCGTGTAGAAATGTATCTCTCTTGAAAACAAAATCGACCTGTCTCAGGAATTTTGCAAGAAACATTCTGCTACAATTCTACTGAATTTATTCCAGTTGAAGGTATTACACTGTATATGTTCACAATTTCAAACAGCTTCAGAAGTGAAAACAACTGCAGCAAATCAATACAGGTAGCCATATTGCCATATTGCTGAGTTGTATGATATCCTCTATTCAATTGAGTAGGTCAGTTGTACTCCCACTCCATGTATTCGAAAGATCCGGCTATGCATCTACTTATTTATTTAAATTTTTAATAGTATGTACTCTATATTTATTTCAAATGATCATTGCAATTAAATTATTATTAATTACCTGATACAGCAGCAGAGATACTCTTGCCATGTCGGAAACGTCATATTGTCCAACAATTGGCATCAGTCTCCACGTATTACCCAAAATCGGTATGGGTTTCGGCCCTGGGATGCTGTTGTATGGTTTGACCTTTTGGATATCTCGTATTTGTGGTGGACATATCTCATCGGGAGTAGCTGCTATCGACTGAGAACGATTTCTAATGAAACTACTGGTCAGCTTGGGGATTTTTTTGGCAGCCATTCTTGAACACTGGTATGACAGGAAATTGATTAGGTTTTGTCTGTTACAAAAATAAACCACTTAATATATGAACCAAAATTATTCTTCCACTGAATAAGGGTGACAGGAATTTACGGTATATGATGTAATTAGGTTCAAAGTGAGTGGTTCTAGCAGTCTCCACTACAACCTGCAAAGATTTACCGTAGCTTGCACCCATTTAAACTCTAACAAATATTAATTTACCGTTTACTTTATTTGGTGAGTGCTCTTTCAGGTTAGTAGGTGAAAATAGGTAGAATAATCCACTTCGGAGTCTACAGAACTCGACCTAGTGGGATCTGATTGGAGGTCAATCTGCAACTACACTGAGACGGCTCAAAGACATACATGACCCCTTAAGATGAGGCCGTCATCAAGATATTCTCTCATATTCACGTTAGAATGCCCAATAAGTGTATTTTATGCGCTGTGGTGCAGGGCGTGTCAAATAGGGTAGTAATTTCCAAAACATGGTGGACCAGATGGGCTCTAGTTACAGAGACAGAAACTATTTAGATTTTGGCCCAGGTTTCTAAACTAATGATGGGGAATGACAGCAATAAAGGTGAAAACAACTGAAATGACTTCAACCTTTAGGAGGTGAACTTCCTTGAGATAAATTGCAACTGGAGCCCCTTCAAGGGCAAATCTTCCGTATACCGATTCAATGGTTCAAAAAGGAACTCGTGTAAACTGCATTTCAATAAAATTTTCCATACTTTGTTATGATTTTATTGTTTCATCGTTTATTCAAGAATTGGATTGTTTTGTAAACCTGACTCTAGTACCAGTCAGTAAAAATTTTTAATGACTTTTGATTAAATCATAGTTATCTGGCTGATGGAAAATTACTTTCAGTTAATCTGATAATTTTTCAGTATGTCCATCAGATCAGGTGAATTGAATTTTTTGTTTTCCTTTTACGAACGACAATTCTCATGAGTCAAAATTTTTGCAATCTTAAGGACCAACAAATTCTCACCTGTGAAATATTTTTGTTTTTTGAAAAAGGTATTCCAGATTCCTGATATTTGTTAATATTTTCAAAAATAAAGAATTGAAGAATTTCTTACTTGAAAAGTAACATCCATGTATAATAATCCAATTGATGGTTTACTGTTTATATGACGAGGTCAAGATTATTTGCTTTTGGATCATTGATCAATGCCATATACTACTTTTCGTAAAGTTCAATAATACCAGGCTAATTAACAAACTGGTTTATGATGTAACCATTAACTGTTTGCTCATGAATGTGTGCAATTGGAGCTACCTGAAATGAACTTGATGTGACCATCGAGATATTGAATATTACTGTACTTTTTTCCCAACACTAAACCGTTATTTTAACACTCCTACACGTGTTTCGATCAACAAGGGATCATCTTCAAGACGAAGGTGTTAAAATAACGATTTGGTGTTGGGAAAAAAACCCAGTAATACTCATTACTACACCAGAGTTTCCAAACAGTGCATCACAAGTATTGATATATTGTTGGAAGGGTGGAGATATATAAAAAATAGGGGTGGAGAAGACAGTTGAAACTTTAATGATGAGTCATCGGCGAGATTAACAAGTTTATGTCAAGGATGGTTTCACAAAAATAAAGCTTATTTTTTCGAAATACATTTATTCTATATGGAAAATACTGTAGAGAATGATCATTTTGCAAGGAATAATTGTCACATGAAGTGACAATTTTACAAAATTCCCAACTTTTCGCTGTTTTTTCGACTTGGAAAAGTTTGAAAATTTCGGGCCGTGAAAAATAATAGTAGAAAACAATAATCACAATATTATTGAAGTGTTGTTTCATTTCATTTGTACTGAATATTCCTTTCACCATATCCACATGGTGGATATGGTGAAAGACCAAGGACCTTGGTCCAAAGTAGAATAATTCCCATTATTATTTTTATAATTACCAAAATTTATTTTTGTTTGTGCATACCCTAAGGGGGCATAAGCATTCAGCCAATCTTTGGATAGTTAAGTAAGAAAATTAATAAATTATAGTAGCAACTAATCCCTCGGCTTTCATTATTTCGAAAGTTGGGAAATTTTGCTGGTGGGGTTGGGAAAATTTGGATTCCCTCCCCCTTTTGGTTTTTCTTTTCGCTACGGCCCTGGTGACTACTAACATATTTTCAATGCTTTTTATTATATCGAGTCATGAGATATGATTGAATTGATTGTATTAAGTAACTTAGCTTTCGCATTGCATGTAAAGCTTTTTCTTCCAGTTCAATGTCATTTTATAGTAAAACTGTTTCTTTTGTATATTTATGTTTCACCCTTGAACACTTATATCACGAAAAACTATCAAATTACATAAAAACTAATAATCACAAGTGAACGTATCTCAGAAGTGGAACTTTCGAATTTTATAAATAATGATACATCATGCCGTCATTTTTCGGTGACGTGAAATGGTATAGAAATTGAAACATTGGAATTTTTGACTCACCTTTATTCTAGTAAGATAGTGACCTTCCAGCAAATATTTTTTCAATTGCAAAATACAACTCATTCAATCATCATCACTTACATTTTTAAGCAGAAACACAAGCGAGCATACCGAACAAGACGCGAGAAACCAATGTGTATTGTCGACATACTTTCGCTTTCTCCAACTCCACTGGAATTTCTAGAGGTCATCACTGGTTGTGGTCATTCAGTCATCCACTTTCAGGATAATGATCATAAGAAAAAAAGGAATTGAAAGCTCTTTACTGAAAAATAAACGTTTTGAAATATTAGGTTGTTTCAAATGTTTTGTCCGTTGTCATGTGTCAACTTTGAAAGGTTATATATTAGTTGATACTCATTCTATTCAATCGAAATAAGGTCATTTGAATCAGCGTACTTTTGCCAACGTAACACAAGTCGATTAAGTCCATCAGCATAGAAATTGTGTGTTAGGGATTCAATGAAGTCGACAAAGTCCGTTTTTGCCTGGCCCTGATTGAAGAAGGTTCTACCGGTGAGAAAGTTATCGAAGTGCTTGAGAAGATGGTACTCAGTTGGTGATAGGTCTGGGAAGTATGGTGGGTGAAGCAGAACTTCGACGCTTAATTCGTTTAATTTTTGGACGGTGATTTGTGTAACATGCGGACGGGCGTTGCCATGGAACATGATCCAAAAAAGAATCATTTGGTTGCGCAAAAGAAAAGAAGAACATACCTCGAAACGTAACAATATCTGTCGATTGTTCAAATCGTGGTGTTTGATTCACAGACCATCCAATTGACAGATCCATCCGTCGTCCAAAAACTTCTCCGTCCAGTCCTAAAGATAACATCGTTCTCCACAATGCTGTCCTTCCCTACATTAAATATGTAACTGACTAAATTGGCCGAATTCTCAAATAACAGGACATAAAGATGATATTCACATCAACAGGAACATCAACTTGCTGTCCGACTCATCCTCAGCCCTATCCAAACATCATCAAGAGACAGGACACAACATAGACTTTGCGAACACTGAGACCATCGCCACAGCGAAAACATTATTTGCGAGGCCATCGAAATCGAAAAGCGACTTTCCTACCTGAACAAACGTGATGACGGTCAAAGACCAACTACCTGAAACCCCCTAATTTCCTAAGAATGTGAACTTTCACGGCTCTGTGAACGCTATTTTCCGGTTTTTTTCGCCGTGGTCTTCAGGTGTTTATGTCTGAGGTTTCGTCTGCTACTGCGGTAGACGTAGTAACTACGATGATAGTATTTGACTCTGGTTTTATATTATTATTGGTAGGCGTGTCTTGGTTTCTCTCAAATGGATTACCTGATCTAGTTTGTGTATCATTAAGGACAGGTAGCCAGATTTTATTAATGTTCAATGCCTCTTCTTTTATATTGAAATTATCTCTGTGTTTCTGAATTTCTATTGCCTCTCTAATAGAGAATCTTTATATACTCTCGCGTAGTAATTTTGTGTTTTATCAAATTGAATCTTTTTATTATCAGCGTTGCTCGAATTTTCATTTAAATTATATGATGGCACACAAAAAAGGGCAAATTATAAACACGTATTCCCGGCTTATGACCAATCATCGGTATGATGCAGCCAAGTGCAAGGATGGGCAACACTTGGTTGCCAAAAGAAGTACAAATGCACGGAGCCATCAGCAGAAGCCAGACGCACATTTGTGGTTTCGGTTAATAGATATTGTATTGATGATAATACTACAAAAATTACCACGGAGACAGATATAGCTCCCTGCGTGACATCTTGGTCCAGGAAATCATACAGATATGAAGATACAGATACAGGCAAAATGAAGATATAAAGAATCTTAGAAATAATTTTATTGAATATAGCACTCAAAAACAGGCAAACCATAGACACGTGTTCTAGGCTGCACCATACTGTTGGTGGGCGAAAAGCCCAAAAAATATTTCTAAGGTATGTACCTACATGCCCTTTTTTGAGTGCTTTGTCTAATAAAATTATCTCTTGGATTAATAATAATATTAATAGGAATTAGAATGTTTCTGATCTATCTCTCTATCTATCTTCTGCACAAATTTTAACATTTAATACAAATAAGGATTAGAGTGTTCGAAATTTCGTTCTGCATAGAATCATATATCATCATATCATTGATTTGTTATTAGTCAATGTTGTCGAAAAATACTTCACGCAACACGTCCGAAAACAGTTGTTTCCGGGCTTGTTACATAAATTACTATTCAATTCCTATATTCAAATATTTTAAGAAGACTGTTTGTCTACCTACATCAATAGTTGTAAGACAAACTGCCTGTCACGTTGACGATGTGAATAAAAAAAATTAATAGTTTAGTTTAAATTGAAACACCAGTAATAGTTTCAGAATACAATTGGTAGATGGCACCACGAGACCAAATATATGACTTGAAACAAATGTCTGTGCAATTGTGAGAGAGTAAATCGTTTTTCATTGTAGTACATATTGAGGACTCATCCAATCCTAAATAATGATTAAATTCTATAATGTTTTCACAGTCTGTGATATGAATAAATTATTGATGACGTTGGCGAACAATTTTAGAAAAACACACAAAGACGCTGTTGCCAAAGTTGAGGTTTGTCTTGATGAATCAAGAAATGTTTTTTCAAATATTGTTGTGGTTTGGAATATATCTTCGAAATAGGAAAGTCGCCAAAACAAACTTTGGCATGTTTGAGAAGCTATGACTAGTAGATACATGAATCAGTAGAAGTCCATACCAACTACTGAGAAAGCTACCTAACACTGACTTGAAAAAATTGGTGTTTACCTCACAGGGAACTGAAAATTTGTATTGTTCATCTGGAACTTCCATAATACTTCCCTTCTTTCTCTGATTTGTTTTGTTGACTCTGAAGAAAAAAATTAATCATTGTTACCGAAAGGTTGAGGTAAACATTCAGAAGATGTCATAGATATTTTTTCTATAGGAATTAAACTCAATAGTACAGGTCAAAAAGAATAGTACATTTTTCCACAAAATGTGTTTTCCTTTGGGTGTTTACCTCACAGGGAACTGAAAATTTGTATTATCTAGGCCTATTCCTTTTTCAATATTAGAATGGTAAGAGAAGCAATACGGAATAAAATCTACAGAGTTCAAAAAATCAAAAGACTCCCATCTAGATATAATACAAAATTCATGCAAGTCAGAATCTGGAGGCAGTTATGAACTTACATCCATACTAGATACCGTCTAGTTTCAAGTTCAACATGAATTTGAAATGTTTCAGCCCAACAACACGTCGGTGTAGAAACTAAAACACTCTTTCACACTGAACACTAGATATTGTTCTTTTACAAAGATTTCCTGGAATGACGTTCTCCAAAAAGTACTTATCCATCAAACGAAACCATCACATACCTAATTCTAACGAAATACGGCAACGCTGCAATTCAGTTCCGTGCATTAGCTGGAAGTGATAGCGTGTTTAGGTATGTCTGGGTCTGCTTTAATAATTAATTTCCAATAAGAAACGTTGTTTATCGGCTTTTTTGTACGAAAAAAGGCTTTAATCGATTATTCTGGACGCTAGAAGTGTAGTTCCGTGGTGTGAGAAGATTCAGGACGTGAATCCAGGCCAGTTTCGGACATCAAGAAAATACAAGGTAATATTTGAATTGTGTATATTTCAAAGATGACGTTTTCTTACAAGAAAAAGGTTATGGTCGCTACAGACGAAATCTAACCTACTTGATTTAAAGGTAGGAATTACGAATTCCTCGTTCGTTCGTTATTGGTTAATTGGGAACACCCACTTTGGAATTTGAATAGAATAGCAAATGAACTACCTGTAATCAAGGACGGTTCGAATTGCCTACCTGTAGGAATTAAATGTAATGAAGATAGCTAATTACTGTAACTGAATGAAAATGAAGTGAATTTGCTCCAATGGAACCTGCATTTTACCCAAGTAATGTATTTTCCATCGGTTGAGGTTCTTATATTTTGAAGGAACATGGATTCTTAGACTTGGATAAATTTGAGATTGCTTATACACTAACAAAATTTCCATGTCATGTAAGTTTTTCGCCCACAGATTTATTTATGACAGATAAGAACATTGTTCAAATAAAGATCAACACTGTTAGTTAGTTTCGAAATTCAATTAAGATGTTTGAAGAATGTATAAATGAAGTTCAAAGTATTCCATGTAAATGTTATACAAATATTTTTTTTTTAAGTTTTGAAATGGAAATGGCTTTAAACTGCAAATAATATGAATTGATTGAAATCCGTAAATTCTAAAAAAACGTGACCTTAAACGATTTAAATTTTAAATTTTTGTTATGACAATTCCCGATGATGAACATTAAAAGAGTAATAATCGTAGTTTTAAGGTTACACGATAAGTCAATAGTAAAAAATTTGAATTGTTCGACCAGCTGTCGAAAGCGCTCGCAGATAATTAATAGAAGATATAAAGCTTCAAATCCTTTTTGTGAAATTTAATATTAAAATTATTTGTTTGTAGTCATTTCTCTGTGGAGGTTAAGTGGTAGAACAAACCTGTATTGTTTTACACATACAGGTTTGAACTTCACCTCTTGGATTTTATACTCTATTTCACCCAATAAAGACCATTATTATTATTATAGCTGAAGCTCTAAAGATGTAAAATGAATATTTTGGATATATCATGCATGAATATTCAAGAAGCGAAAACTGTGTTCAATGTGGATGCCGCGCGAGCTCATGATCGACCAAAAAATAAGAACGAATCAATTTTTCTAAGCAGTGTTTGAAGCCGTTTCACCCCAAAAAACCTGAATGTATGCGTCGATATGTGACATTGAATGAACCATGGCTCCATTATTTCACACTAGAATCAAAAAGATCGTCAGGTTATAGTCAGTCGGGTTGGCAAGGTTATGGAAAGAAGAAAAAGAGTGCGCTGTTTCATTAAGACAATGAACGGTGTCGCAAATCAATGAAAACCATGACAAAATTGCATGAATTCATTTAGTTACTTCCGCATCCACCGTATTCTCCAGATCTGCGCCAAAGCGACTTTTTCCTCTTCTCAGATCTCAAGAGATGGGAAATGTTCCTCAATTTGGGTTATTACAGCAAATGCAATGCAATAAAATTGAGTTTAATTCATGAGTTTTTCAAATTCACTTCGAAAAGTATTCAAATTGATGTTAAGGTTGAAATGATAAGTTTAAAATGCGTTGTTTTAGAGCTTTTTTATGAAAACTGCTTGATTTTCGTCAGGAGGAACATTCCCCAATGCCTGAAGAGGCAACTTAGTTCTATTTTGAGGCTAAAGACAAATCGTATTATAAAAATGGTATCCGAAAATTGTGTGTAACAAAAAATTGTATGACCGCAATAATATTTGTATCTTTGTATCTTTCTCGATGGCAACTATATTGAATTTTATCTGTGAACCTGAGAGTTTTTCTGAGAAACTCAAACTCGTGCACCATCGAGCACTTCGACGATCACATTATCGCTTTTGATAATGCCAACCACAGTAGTAGACGAAACGTCAGGCATAAAAACCTGCAGACCACGACCAAAAAACCTGGAAAATAGCTTTGTCACAGTTATCTCCAGCAGTGAAAGTTTACATTCTTTGAATATCGCATTACTCAAGATTTAGTTCTTCAATTTCATTGGATAGTTACAGTAAATAAGCAACAATAATTCTTTTATTTTTGGAACTGTCATCAATATTCCGCCCCGGCTTCAAAAAATGTCTATTCCATCATCAATTATTTAATTTTACAACCTTGCTGTACCTACTAGATAGGTACTTGTTACCTACGTCTTCAGATCCAGCATTACTCCAATGAAAAATAAGAGTACACCTATGTACGTTCTACGCACAACTAAACAACTAACTGCCTTTCTTTCAAAGTGTAAGCGGTCAAACCAGTGCCATCGGCCTAAACGGGGACATTTCTGATTCTTCTTCTTGTTCGGGCCCCGTCTTGCAGTGATCCCCGCGCTAGCTTCTTACTTCTATCGTGTATTCGAATGCATTCCACAAGAAGGCCGTGTCCGATCACTTTTTGTTCCTTCGGCTGGCTTGATGCGTTGATTATTATCATTTAGGTGGTTATTTTCCGCTTCGTAACAGTTTTTGTTGTTTCCTGGGTAGTTTCAGCAAGTTTAGGGAGTTTATATGTAGGTTTTGATAAGTGCGTGTGCTTGGAAGTGGATTCGTTTCAGGCTGATTCCAAATATGCTGATTTCCAACTCTAATGACGGCAGTCCGGAGTAAGTACTTGTGTTTCAAGATTGTATGAAATTCTATGTGTTAGATTTTAAATATGGCTTCCTGGGGAACTGTCAGTAATGCTAAAGGTCAAAGACACTAGATACTAGAAGGTACTATTACGTATTATTACTTGGACTGATAAACCACTGACCAATGATTTAATTATTGGCGGGCTGATCTCGTATAGAATCTAACCACGAATGTATTTATTTTTTGAAATAATAATAATATTTATTGATTTCTTTTTTAAAAATATATAAATAAATGATAACGTGGTTTATAACGTGAGCCACACAGTTCTTCCTACTTCATTCACCACTCGCCTTATATTGTCAAGCACTACAGCATTCAAAGTCGGTGACTGATTACATTTCCGCAAGCTTTCTTTCATTGTGGCCCAAACCATTTGAATTGGATTAAACACACAATAGTATGGAGGCAAACGTAAGAGAATATGACCACGTGTTTCACACATCGAATCAATAATATTCTCTTTTTTGAAATTACGTTGTTTTATGGTCGCCAGTAATACCTTTTTCGTTGAAATCTTTTCGGGTATTTCCATGTCATGATTTCGCATGAAATCAACAATATCTGCTTTTTGTGTTATTGTTTGGTATTGTAGTCAATAACCGAGAATGATATCCATAACAATAACCGAGTTTGGAGGAATATTTGGGGAAGCTGCTCACTGAACCAGGTTTCGAATGAAGCCGCTGTCATATCTTCGTGGTAATCAGCAGACGAATCTTTTATATTTTTGGCCGACAGAAGCAAAGCGTTAGGTACGAAACCACTTTCATTCCCGGCATGCAAAATTATAACACGTTTTCCCCTTGAAGAAGGTGTGTTCAAAGCACAATACTTGGTTTCGTCTACCCAACCATATTTGACAACATCATGGGTGTCAAACCAAGTTTCGTCGAGGTAGATTATATATCTGCTGGATTCTCGATAGCTTTTCATTCGCCTCAAATATTCTTGTCGGAGTTGAACAATGCGTGTCGATTCCATTATGACCATCCGATTGTTCAATTTTTTATATTTGAAACCACAAGACAATAAGACACCTCTTAGAGTTTCTAAAGATTTGTAATTGTAATCGGGATAGTCGAGTAATTTATACCAAATCATTTCCAAGGTTGGTACTTCATTTTTTCTGTATATACCATAAATTGTTCGCCGAATCACATCTTTTGTAGCATCCATCCATCCATCCATCCAACCTCATAAACTTTCTCATTCATATTAGTATACAGGGTGTAATTGAATAAGTGTAAAACATTTAAGGAGATGATTCCTCATCGAAAAAAAAAGGATCTTTCATATAAAGAAATGTCAATGGAGTATCCATTGTTAAGATACAGCCCCTTAAAGGGGGTACATAAAATTTGTATAACAATTTTTTTCACAAGCACTAAAAAGTTACAATATAGAAATTGACATGACGTTTTGTACTACCAAAAAGATACTTAGGGCCGGCTTATCAATATGTAGTTAAATGCTCCTGTTAGCTACCTCGAAGCTAAGCTCAGCTGATAGTCAATGTTGCAGTTACTACTCAAATGGTTTATCATACCCTGACTGATGCTAATGTTTAATAACTGTTAGTTAACTAAGGTTGGCATAAGTGACTATTTCAGGGGCTTGTTTTTATTGGAGGATTGATTTTCAAAAATGACAACTGCTAACAAAAAGTTCATGAGTTATACATAATAACCTATATGAGTTGAGAGGGCATATGAAAAACGAAAATGAGCAATAAAAGAACATCCAATTTTACCGAAACAGACAGATCACTCCTAATAAAAATTGCCAATTCCTATAAATTTATCATTGAGAACAAAAAAAAACTGATGCCATCACATGGAAGAAGAAAGAAGAGGCCTGGAAAAGAGTTGAATTTGATTTTAATTCCTCTACATCAGGACCTGTAAGTCTCTACCTCATCTAATTCTTTGAAAGCATCATTACGTTCATTAACAATGTAAGGTCTTCTTTGAACTCCAATATATCCTCATCTTCGTCATTCAACAAATGGAAAACTTCTTTNACAACCATGGGGTAAACCAAATAAATTTCTGACCAAGTGTCTTTTTGGTAGTACAAAACGTCATGTCAATTTCAATATTGTAACTTTTTTAGTGCTTGTGAAAAAAATTGTTATACAAATTTTATATACTTCCTTTAAGGGCTGTATCTTAACAAGGGATGCTTCAATGAAATTTCTTTATATAAAAGATATTTTTCTATATCTTTTTTTTGATGAGGAATCACCTCCTCAAACGGTTTACACTTATTCAGTTACACCCTGTATAGAATAGATATAGATATTGATTTACTTACAAAAGAAATTAAAACTGACAAAATCATTCAGAT